TGGCAACGTTCTTGGCTAGAAATATGAGCTCGTACTTAAAGCAATTTTAGCAATCGAATTAGTTGCATTTAGTTGTTTCAATGACCATAAACTGAAAATACAAGCTTTGTTGTACAGCTAAGTATAAACGCGCCCCAACGCGCCCCTTCAGATGACTACTTTTTCCCTTTCTAAACATACGTATTTTTTCTTAGGTTGAAACTTGACTATGACATCTAAGAGGCCTTCGGTCGCGGAAGGCAACACGCCTGGTAAGCCGCCTTCTAAGCGAACTGTGCAAGGCACATCGAGAAGAAGCCTTTTTGGTTCAGAAAGTGATGATGTATCCCAACAAAAGTGTTCTAATGTGAAAGATTGGACAGAGGAAGAGGAATCAGCCCTGGTGCAATACATTTGCTTGTTTTGGAAGAATGCCTATACTAATAAATGGCCAACAACAAAATACATATCATTAATTAATGAATATTTAGACTTTCCAAAGTCCTTTCCAGGCCCTTCTATGGCGCGCTTCACTTTCCCTGTGGAGAGGACTTTTGTCACTTGCAGCGCGCCAAATATCACCGGTGGAAAAATCCACCGGTGACGTCATTGTTTACATTGAAGGCCGAAGCGGTTATATTATCGGTCATTATCGAAGGAGTCTAAAAATATTATATTTTCAGGTTCTTTGTTGGACAAATGTGTATTATTGAAGCAAACAGAGTAAAAAATTAATGTAATTACAATTTTGTAGAACACAAAAACCATGTAAAAATAATACACAAACAGACATTACATTGAGTATAAAGTACAGGGTGTAGAAATAAACTTCAATACTGCCATCGAAGATGCATCTGATGATTCTAAAATTTCCTCACTAGTTTTGGGTTTAGTTTGGGTTTCTTGATCTCGATTAGTGATTTTTACAAATTCGTTTGCTGAGAAAACAACGTGTATTTTTACTGGATTTTGAACTCTAGCAACGTCTTCTAGTTGATCACAATCGCCGCGCCTCTCTGCTTCTTGGTTACAGACTACAGTTGTCTGATTCTTTTCAATTTATAGATTAACTTCTACTACGTAACGTTAATTAAATCGCTGGCGAACTCACTATTCTTGTCGACATAATTACGGCACATATGACATATTGTCATTGAATAGACAACAACTGTGAAGCTTCAATAAGTTTTTACATGCACTTGTTTTTGTTGATACATTGAACAGCTTTCGGCGCTTACTTAACTTGGCCTTTGTGGCTGTGGTTAGTTATTTCGTTTCCACACTTGGTGCAAACTGTTTCATTCGACGACCAAGAAATATCAATTCTAGAGAATGTTTTTGTGTTTTTGTATACTCATTGTCGGCGCGGTGAAGTAATTGTATGAAATGTACACACCCTTTTAATATGTCAAAATTATTCGCGCCAAAATTTTTAATGCGATTTAAATTCCTGCAAGCGACACAAGTCGACCACTCGCGACTTCGTCGCTCGGGTCGCGCGCTCCCTCCCCCGCGCCCTCCCTCCCCCATGGTCGACTTGTGGCAAGTCTAATGAATATTACGTTAATAATTAAAATAACATATGGCTGTCTTCTTAATGTCGGCAATTCTATTTGATATCAAAGTTTGTTTTACAAGCCAGTGAATTGCTGATTTTTTCAACGATTACAATTTCAAACACACTGGTCATATTCAGTAAATTTTCTCCCAGTACCGCAGGCTTGCATTTTTCAGCGGACTTGCCGTGAAAATTGGAAAGTTTTGTATTCTGCGCAGAACTGGACATTTTGTATAAGATGTCCACTGAGACACTGACAATACGAGCCCATACAAGTGGAAGAAATTTCGCTAAATTTGACAAAATTTTTTGCAGCCCGCCTTAGTCGTCCAAAAATTTATATCGCCCCTTCAAACATCTTCCGTCTCACCCCCGCCAATAATAAGGACTGCTCGCTAAATATAAAAAATTCCACTTCTTGTCAAACGCCATAATTATTTTTCCGCTTCAGAAAGAGCCCAGTAGCAATAGGTGCTCTCACGGATCTGAAACATACATACACACATTAAATCGAAATTTCCAGGGCAATCTTACTTAGTTCGCGAGAGGCAATTGGACCCGGCAAGATTAGTGTGTTTCCTCTCTGAGTGGAAGCAGCAATGACATGATTACGCCAACGACAAAAAAATCAGTCAGCCAGACAATGCAAATGGTACGCCACGAGCTGACAAGCATCTTAATTAAGTAAAACGTATATACCAGCTCTTCCATTTCTAACCTTTCATTGTGAGAGATATTACTTAATCAAGTTTTATTTACGACTTCATTGATGATGTAATTTGGTCAAAAAACAGTTAGTGCATGGTAAAACCTGCCTATATTGGTTGAAAATTAATCCTAATCGCTAACACATATAAGGTGAGTATAAATACAAATTGTGTTGTCTGAAATTCCACCATGTGCATGGAAATTATTATCATTTCTCGACATTAGTTTGCGCTATATATAGTTGACATATGAGTTCCTCATAATAACAAAGGTGATGAGTTGTGCAAAGTTTGAAAGTTGATCGAATTATATATCGAAATCCTTTAACGGTTCCAAGTTCGTATCCTTAAACAGTTACACAGTTGGTTTTCAAGTGTTCCATCAATCTGTTGACAAAGTAATGACAATTGTTTGTTGTCACTTGGTAACCGCCGTGTAGATTTGGATAATTTTGAGTCCATAGCTCTATTTGATCCAAACGACACTTGCTCATTCCCTTACTATCAAACTCCCATGAGATTGAACATTGAGCTGGGTTCCGATCCATTCTGTAGGATTTTGGGGTACCAAAACCCCACTCAAAAATTTTCCCGCGGAACATGAGCAGACTGTGTTTCGGCTTCAAAGTAAAGACACGCTTTCCGCCTTTTCCCAGTTCTGTCGTGCCGTAGAAGTATTCACCTTGAGGGCCTAAAAAGTATAAATGTTCGATGTATAATGGATTTTGTGACAAACTGCAAAAACACCAAAATTCAGGGCTTTCTACATATAAGTCGGAGTAAGGCAAGGCCTGCAGCCTTAGTATACTATATTTTTGTCCATTTCTCTAAAGGTCCCTCTTGTCCGCAATAACTGCACTGTTAATTTCAAGGAGTTATTTTAACTCCACCATAGGAGTTCAAACCATGCTACTCCACTCGGGAGAGTAAAAATTGTGGAGTAAAATCTACTCCCAAAATAGAGTTAAAACTACTCCACTTCGGCGCGCATTCCACAATTTACTCCATCGGGAGTCAATTTAACTCCACTGGAGGAGTAAATTAATTAAACTCGCTTCTAGGAGTAGAAATTATGGACTAATTTTTACTCCTTAATTTTACTCCAGGGGTCGTTTCAACTCCCAAAAAAGAGTAAAATGGATCAGGATCTAGAGTAAATTATTACAATAAAATTAATGCGCTTGAGAATTGAAGATGGCGGCTATACTCTAAGTATTGAATACAGATGCGAAAAGCACGAAGTTCGAGATATAAAGTAGTTTTTTTTAATTTTACGTTTTTGGTTACTCGAATGTTGCCAAGTCAAATTTATGCCGTTGATGTATTTACCAATATATCGGCTTCAATCGCACGCGGCGATCGAATGTAGCCAGAAATTGTCAGCGAGTCATCTATATCTTTTATTTGCTGCGTATAAATCTGTAATTTGAACTTGTGGCTCTCCCCTCCGCAGAGGCTTTTAATTAAGGAATACGAAATTCGAAGGGATTGAAGTTGAAGAAGATATTTGAATGCTAGAAGGTATTTGAAATTGCGCTATTTCAATTCCTTCGAATTTCATACTCTTTAAAAGCCTCTGCGCCTGTAGCCTGCATGCGTGGCAGGCTCTCTGGGTTTGGGGGAGGCGATGATTTTTCTCCCATTTTTCATCGCCTCCCCCAAACTATGCCCAAACCCAGAGAGCCTGCCACGCAGACTACTGCGCCCGAGGAGAGAGAACTTGTGGAATGTTCTGCTGCTGAATTCTGTTGAATATAATCACAGGCGGCCCAGACGTGTATTAGTGTATATAAATATATCATCATAGAATATACTACACAGTAAAATTTGTAATGAATTTTATATTTTAAAATCATATTTACTTGCCTACTTTGATTGTATGTGATCGTCTTTCATTTCTGAGCGACTTTACACTCTATGCCAATCTCGAAACCAGAGCCCGCAATCCTCTGTGGAGGCTTGCTGAGGCTCTGGGAAACACCGGTGAAAGTCGGGCTCTGTTTGGTTGTTTTTCAACATCCTCGTCCCCAGGCCCAAGCGGCCCTCAAAGTTTTTCAAGTGCTAATTATTATTCAAACTTTGAGCCGTATTTAGTTGTTCGGATTTCAAACATCGTTTAAAATTAATATAAAGTTTATTTCTCTTTGTGTATTATGTTTAAACATATCAATGAAACACACAGCATAATTTTAACAAACTTATTGATCTTCCTTAGCTTCTCATATGAAATCAATAGACTATTCAGATATTGATATGCCAATAACAAAATGTAGAATAACAGTGCAGGTCATGATAAGGTCATGATAAGCCGTTGCCTATAATATTTAAAATAACACAACAATCCATGATTTATCGTAATTAAACAAGTTAAAATAAATCACTACCAGTATCTTACAACAATTCAAAACCATGGCAAGTGTTCTTTGAAGAATTAAAGTCGTAATAAGCTTAAACAACGGCATAATTCATGTTTGACAGCAGTAATATCTATTTATAAATGTCGAGCGGAGTACTGGATCCAAATGTACTGATTTTCGTGCAAATGTCGCCGATGTTTCCCAGAGCCTCAGCAAGCCTCCACAGAGGATTGCGGGCTCTGGTTTCGAGATTGACTCTAGCTATGCCTGCGACTGTCTTCATAGGTGATAGCAATGAAAGCAAAGGCTAACGATTCCAGTTCACAAAACGGCGACACGAACACTTCAACTCGAAAAATATCCCCTTTAAATTGCTTTGTTCTCGCTAAAACTTCGCCAGCGTATAGAATAACCACCCATCTTCGAACATGCAAGGCAATATTAACACGTCCTATAATTTTTGGAATGGAATTTTAGCGAAATGTTTCGAGACTAAAATTCTATGGAACTTAGAAAGCCCGATAATTACTACGCCACTGCGCAGCGACCGAGCCTCCTTTACCGTTTGGATTGTCGGGCGGGGGGGGGGTACAAATAACAAACACCTATTTCCGACAACGGTCAGCCAATCAACGCCGCGATAGCGACTGTTTACAATATTTGAAATCTGATATTGTCATTTGCAAAACTCGTTCGATAAATCGATCGTATACTATACGATCGAAAGAGTTTTTGCGAATTACAATATCAGATTTCAAATATTGTAAACAGTCGCTATCGCGGCGTTGATTGGCTGGCTGTTGCTGGAAATAGTACACGATCGATTCATCGAAAGAGTTTTGCAAATGACAATATCAGATTTCAAATATTGTAAACAGTCGCTATCGCGGCATTGATTGGCTGGCCGTTGTCGGAAATAGGTGTTTGTTATTTGCATCCCCCCCCCCCCTGACAATCCAAACGGTAAAGGAGGCTCTGTCGCCAAGCAAGCGCCGTAGTAATTATCGGGCTTTCTAAGTTCCATAGAATTTTAGTCTCGAAACATTTCGCTAAAAATCCGCATTCCAAAAATTATAGGACGTGTTAATATTGCCTTGTATGTTCGAAGATGGGTGTTTATTCTATACGCTGGCGAAGTTTTACCGAGAACAAAGCAATTTAAAGGGGAAATTTTTCGAGTTGAAGTGTTCGTGTCGCCGTTTTGTGAACTGGAATCGTTAGCCTTTGCTTTCATTGCTATCACCTATGTCTATGAAGACAGTCGCAGGCATAGAGTGTAGAGTCGCTCAGAAATGAAAGACGATGATCACATACAATCAAAGTAGGCAAGTAAATATGATTTTAAAATATAAAATTCATTACAAATTTTACTGTGTAGTATATTCTATAATGATATATTTACTATACACTAATACACGTCTGGGCCGCCTGTGATATACTTTGCGACAAGTGGAAGTTCCAGAGTTTCAACCAATTGACCACTTGCGTAATAGACTAAATTTCGATCTAGACAAAAATTTCATCACAGCTCGAAAGAGTATCACAAAATTAGTAATATTCCAAAGTTTCGTTGCGAAATGTTGTAAAATGCGGATAATATAGCCTTGCGAAGTTTGCCATTTTCAGTCATTTTAGATTACAAACGGGAAATTGACAGCCCACTACCCTTTGGGGCTGTCAATTTCCCGTTTGTAAGGGACTGCTCATTATTTATTGTACAGGGGAGACTGAGGAGAAACTCTACAGTTATAATATTTTTCGTTGCCCCCCCCCCCCAACAGGAAAAACAAGAACATAAATTTTGATCCCCCGAATCTAGCTCTTTATCTTTATTTAGAGAAACAAAAACTCTAACTCTTATATATTTAGAGACCAATAGACAATTCCCATTATAGACTAATTTTTTATCTTAGCAAAAAAAGTATATTCCCGGGAAGGGCATACTAAAATTATTAAAATTGCAAAGTTTGGTTGCGAAATGTTGTAAAATGTAGAAAATATATAGCCTTCCAAAGTTTGCAAATTTTGTATACTTTTGTATTGCAATTTTCGCATGCAATACAAAAGTATACAATATTTGCAAACTTTGCAAGGCTATATATTTTCCGTATTTCACAACATTTCGCAACCAAACTTTGCAATAATTTACTTATTTTAGTATGCTCTTTCTAGCTGTGGTGATTTATTTGCATCAAGGCAGGATTTTAAGGGGAGGTGTGGAGAGGTGCGCACCTCCCCTGAGATCGTTTTGCACCTCCCCTGAGAATTTCTGAACCTCTCCTGAGAGGTCATGCACCTCCCCTTGGGAAAGTTTCAATGATGGAACAAAGTGAAAATGTGATTGTTGCTTAGGATCTACACTTCGTGACGTAAGAAAGTTTTCTCTGTAAAATTGAAACAGTGATAGCCATTCATCTTTGTGTGAAGTAAACTTTTAATGCAATGTTTGAAAGAAACTTTGAGCAATAGTAATGAAGGGCAAGATTGGAGTCATATATTCATAATTCATTAATACACTGGTACATATGTACACTACATGCACACCTCACCTTGTTGGTATTGGCCTGTTCTACAATAAGCCCTAACTTTCCATGGGGGTTGTGAGCTAGACTGCTGCACCTCCCCTAAAATTTTTTCCACCTCCCCCACTATTTTCACCAAAATTCGGTCTTGATTTGCATCTTTTTGCCTAGTTCTAAATTCTAAAATTAGTCTATAATGGGAATTGTCTATTTACATGAACATAAGAGACTTTTTATTTGGCTTCCATTTATGAATATTAAAGGTCTATAAATATTGTTATTTGTTGTTAAGTTGTTTTGTGATACATTTTTAAAACTATTAATGTTTTTTCAAACAGGTAAATCTTTTCAAAGTCTCCCTTCTTTCGTCTCTCTGTATTAATTTATTCAAAGCCCCCCCCTTTCAGGTTTTAAAAAATTTAAAGCCCCCCCCCCAGTTTCTCCTCAAC